AAGAAGACTTATTTCCAGTGGGGTCCTTCTGGTGGTGATTGGACAGTACACCGGGAGACAATCCCCTACTCTTTTCCGAAGAGTGTACTTCGTACTTTAACGTGCACATGGGCCATAATGCACACAGGACCAACGGCTTAAATGTCTCATCCGAAAGATGGTGCACTATTGTAACTTGTATTTCAGCCGTCTTAAAAAATTCCTTGCATTCATATGTGCTTTTATCTTTTATAAATCCCAATTGCAATAAATTGATGAATCAAATTGAGCTATAATCACAGTCCATTATAATGTATTTGAGGACAATATTATCATCAACAACATTTGTGACACACTCTAGCAGGAACAGACTCTTGTCTCAAAAAATGAAAAATGAGATCTTTGTAATAACCACAAATTGAGGTGGCGCCTATCATACGCAAATCTCGCAAGGAGTTTCCGCGTAACACACTCTGCAAGCTGGACAAGCCTTATGATTGTCCACTTTAGGACTGGGCCTAGGGTCCCAACAGATCGGTCATTCTGATTTGCCGGTCATGGTGAAATGCACAGCAAAATGAATCCCAGTAGCAGGCAGGATGCAGTAGATCCAAAACATAGATCATCAAAATCAAAAATTGCAAAATATAAATCCAATAAGATCGGAAAATCCAACAAGATCTGTAATCCTTAGATGAGGTGTCACTTTCGTGTCTCAAAAAAGAATGAGGAAGTTGCATGGTGGCGGGGCTGCTTGTGATTGGTGCCAAGATTCAACTGTTCTATTATTTTTCGAGGGGTGTTCTCGTGTGAAATAAAATAGGCAATTCGTCGGTTTATCCAGGTATATTTATCCACTCACAGACTACTAACATTACCATTGATTTGTGTAATCTAGAGGTCAAAAATTAATAATTAATGCAAAAAATGTTAAAATTGGATAACAAATAGCAAAAATATGATAATTTATATTTTCGGTCTGTATTAAGATGGTCAATACATTGGAATTTAAGCTGATTTGAAGACTTTCTGATTTGGAGACAAGGGCATGGTTTTGCCAGAGTTAGTTCCATTTATCATACTATTATATTTCATTGTATTTCTAGACTTCTTGACATTTAATCAATTTTGAGTTGCTACAAAATATTTTTTCCTACACAGATGGGGACAAATCTTCATCCTCGACTCACTTGCCAACTTCAACCCTAAGGATGAGAAGGAGGCCCAGAGCATATGTGAGCGTGTGACACCACGACTGGCCCATGCCAACGCTGCTGTTGTCTTGTCATCAGTTAAGGTACTATATGCACTGTTATTCACTATGACCTAGTTATTGTTTTATCTGTAAAAATTGGTGTAGTATTTACATGGACGTTTCAATCACAATCGGTGATTTTTTTCAACTGGTCATTGTTAATTCAGATACCAAAACGTCCAGGTAAATGCCGATGTTTTTATTGTTCAATCATAAATGAAAGGTTAACAACCCTGAATTATAGGAACCAGATGATTTTTTTAAATTTTTTTTTTAAATGGTGTAGTTTTTGTTCAATGTTTGGATGATATCTATTTAAGTTTAATTCAAATATATTGGTTATAGTTTTAATTATTATTAATTTAATAATCCTATGTTTACCAACATCTCACTAATTCTCATAATTTTTATTATTGATGTTTTTTCATTTTAAAATGATATTGATATTACTATTTAAGAAATTCACTTAAATTATTTTATTTCCTTGCCAGTGTTCCATAATAGTAAAAAGGGGAAAAAGAAAAACATAATAAAAAAAAATAATAAAAAAAAAATAAATTTGTACTATTTAAAATTATTTTTAGCCCATTCGTAAAAAGCACCTTGTCAAGTATTTTATGTGTATCTAGTTGTATTGTTGATGATTATTATTTTCTTAATATCTTGATTCCTTTAAACCCATAGGTGTTAATGAAATTTATGGAATTCATGAGCCCGAGTAATGCTTACGTGAACAGTTTGATTAAGAAATTATCTCCACCATTGGTCACACTGCTGTCCGCTGAACCCGAGGTGCAGTATGTTGCCCTCCGAAACATCAATCTCATCGTCCAGAAGAGGTCAGATTATTTTTTTTTAATAATTCATATGAATGAGATTTATACATCATTGTTTTATGTTTCAAGTTTTTATGCTTGCTTTTCATGTGTTTGTTTTCTTTTATATAGACCTGAGATTCTGAAACAAGAGATGAAAGTGTTCTTTGTGAAGTATAATGATCCGATCTATGTGAAACTAGAGAAGCTTGACATCATGATCCGTCTTGCCACTGAAGGAAACATCGCGCAGGTCCTTGCAGAGTTGAAAGAGTATGCCACGGAAGTTGATGTGGACTTTGTGAGGAAGTCTGTCCGTGCCATTGGACGTTGTGCCATCAAGGTTGATGTGAGTGCAACCTTCAACCAATTTGTGGTGTTGTTAGATTTCTGTGACTATTAGGCAATTAGTGTATAGTTTTGAAAACTGTTCCCTTTAGTGCATGTAAAAATTGCCTTCTCGGAGAAAGAAAAATAACATTGAATGTAAAGTGGTGATGCCTTGATTATATATCTTTTTTTCTTTTATCTCTGTCAACTACTAAACAATTTGTTATCAGGGCTTATGCTTAAAATATGTTTGTATTAAGTGTTATGTCAGAACTCTGCCAGATGTATCAATTTATCTGTTAATTAATATTTCAAAAGTTGTTTGTATTATTTTCCAATGTATCAATTGATTGCAGACATCTGCTGAGCGTTGTGTTAGCACTCTGCTGGATCTGATCCAAACCAAAGTGAACTACGTGGTGCAAGAGGCCATCGTGGTAATCAAGGACATCTTCCGAAAATATCCAAACAAGTATGAGAGCATCATTGCCACGTTGTGCGAGAACCTAGACACCCTGGATGAGCCAGAAGCAAGGTAAGTCACACAAGGAGGGTCACTGGAGCTGACATTGGTCTATATGCTGAGAGTTGCAACAATTTCCAAGTTGATGTCAGTTTGTTAAAAATAATATGTATGGATTTATAGGGCGTATAATGCATAAAGCCTCTATGCGCTAAACACTTGGTTCCATTGAGCTGGTCCTAGTACATTGTGGCATTCAAGTTCTAGTTACCATGAAGGTAGTACGGCGTAGCATGGCATAAATATGTTACGCTCTATGGAAATAAAATGCCGTCAACCTGGAAGTTGTCACTCCCCTCAGTATATGGGCACTGAAGTCAACACTAAACTGTCTGGGAGTTACCAATCTTTAGATCTTTATTTTATGTATTGCTATTCTTGAAGATTGTATATGTATATGTTATGAGTAAAATATGCTTTAGAGAAACCATCCTACAAGCTTAATTGTTATATTTCAATGTTAGCTGATCTGGACCTGCTTTAAATCAAGGTTGACACTTAACTTATATAGGATTTTGGTCTCAATTTAAGCATGTACATGAACTCGAAAAATATCCTTATTTCTGGTAGAGCCTCTATGATTTGGATTATTGGTGAGTACGCCGAGCGTATTGAGAATGCAGATGAACTCCTGGAGAGCTTCCTGGAAGGATTCCATGACGAGAACACCCAGGTCCAACTGCAACTTCTGACAGCCATTGTCAAACTGTTCTTGAAGCGTCCTCAGGACACTCAGGAACTGGTGCAGCAGGTGCTTAGTCTGGCCACACAGGTAAGTAAACGGGGGAATGGGGGTGGGGAAGGTTTTTATTTGCAAGCAGATTATTGAAGAGCATTTTGTGAGGATATTTTTGATGGTAAACAGGGGAGGTTTCTGGCATCATTTAAGAGCGTAAGTGTATTCTATATTTTACTTACGGAATTGTGTGATGACCTCTTTCTACCAGATTATATAGTATTTTGGGGGAAGGGGAGAGAGGGGGAGGTACTTGCAAGCTGATTATGGAAAGAGTATTTGGTGATGCTATCTTTTTTGTTACACTCTATTTATATAATTTACAATGCCAGTCCTTAATGTTAAAAGTCAAACAATTTTTATTCCAAATCTAGTAAAAAAACTGTACTTTCTCATTTCAGGATAGTGACAATCCTGACTTGCGTGACCGTGGTTACATCTACTGGAGGTTGCTGTCCACCGACCCAGCTGCAGCTAAGGATGTCGTCCTTGCTGAGAAGCCCCTGATCTCGGAGGAGACAGACTTGATTGAGCCCACTCTGTTGGATGAGCTTATCTGTCACATTGCCAGTCTGGCCTCTGTGTACCACAAACCCCCAAGTGCTTTCATCGAGGGAAGAACTGCTGGTGGCTATCGACGATCTCTACCGGCCAGAACACAAGGGTAAGAATTAGCATAATAATTACAAATATATTTATAAAAATAGTTATGAGAGTTTTGGTATAGGATGTTTGTACTGAGATTTAGTTATTCATAATACATTATGGTTTTTGGATCTGAATCTAAGCAGTTGAATTTAGTCATTCTTATGTTTAAGGCAGTAGTTATTCAGCTGGTAGGCTTGATTACACAGCATTTCCGTGATTATTCCTTGAGGATGCACTCCAGCCCTAACGTTAAGGATTGCGGGGTTGTGGGAGGCAATGCCAATTTCTGGAAGACTCCTATAACCTTCAGGAATCTTGGGACTCCTGGGAATGACTTGTATTTTTAGCTTAGATATTTTTTTTTGTATTGGTGACAATTATTAATAAAAGTGTATATGCAAAGCATTTAAATATGTAGCAATTGTCATCTGATAACTGAAACTTAGTAAAATATTTTATAATATAAAAATAATGTTGTTAGGATTATTTAGTATTCTTAGTAGTGGTAGTGATAATATATTAATTATGGGGAGTGCTTTGTTAAGATAATTCAACATATTTGTGTGTATTCTAGAAGTTCCGGATCAACATCACCCGAGAGTCCCGAAGCCACTCCAGTTGCTGCCCAAGCCCAACAGCCAACTGTCATCCCGCAGCCCGCTGGCCAAGCTGATCTTATCGGGGACCTGCTCAGCATGGACCTAGGCCCACCTCAACCATCAGTCAGTATGACCCAACAACCATCTGCAGGCATGGACCTTCTTGGAGGTGGCTTAGACAGCCTGGTACGAAGTTTTTTTCTTCCTATATTGTCTTTAGTTTTTACTACAAATTACCATATCTTGAATTTTGAGTTAGATTGGATGATTCAATATTTGTATGTATTAAAGTTTAATGTTTACTTTTAATTGTACTGATAATGTCTTGTAATCTGCATTTACTCAAACATTGATCTGAGTTTTATGTTGCATGCTTTTATGAAATTTTTCTGAATGAAGAATGATATAAAAAAAAAAGAAAAATTACTAATGGTTTGTGCAAATATATAACTCGTAAATTTTGAAAATCTTGACAGCTTGGCGATCCAGTTGCACCAGCAGCCTCAGCCCCAGCCGCAGGTGGAGTTGCAAGCCTGGGAGATATCTTCAGCCTCGCAGGCCCAGGCTTGATGGCAGGAGCAGTCACAACACCAAAGACAGTAAGTTATCATTTTTGTTATGCTATTAGTACCTGAATATTTTTTATCTTCGAACTATTTGAAATTATACAGATATTGAAATAATATAGGGATTCGGTGATGGGCGTCACATGACCTAACATGGGTGTTAGATGCAAGCAGTGGACTGGCACAGCGGAGGTTGCTAGGCTAGCTAAGATTTACAAAGGATTGCATAAATTTCACTAGACAATTTCACTAACACTAGAATAAGTAAATAAACACTATTTTGAACAATAGTAATGCCTTTCCTTGCCATTTATTTCTCTTGTTAACTGTGGGTGGTTGTTTTCGAAACCATAACATTACCTTTCCCTATACTATCACACTGATTGCACTGTAATGTTTTTCATAGTACACCCACCATAGGTCACATGACTGGGTGAATAAACATCGCCAAATTCCTCTATTGTATTTTATTGTTCTGAGATAAGAGTTAATTTAATAATATTAATTTTTCTGAGATTATTCCCATTGCCTCCTTTGATAACTATAACATAATAAACTATGACATTTTTAAGTTATATTATTTTTGTGTTTATTCATATTCTTCTTTTACAAAATGTGTTACACTTATTACAATTTTTTATTCCAAACTTTCATAATATAGTTAGATAAGCAATCCCTAGAACAAGATTCAAAATTACAGTATCTGATGACCTATAGAGGGCTCACTTCAATTTCACTAGAATATTACCAAAATGCTAACCCTTTAAAATCTAATTACCATCCAAATTTATTGCAATGTGTATTGGTAATAGTTGCAATGTAAGTTGCTTTGTATTGGAGGAGCAAATAAATACACTAATAACCCTTATCATTTTGCAGCACTTAGAACTATATTATTTTTATAAGTCACTGAGAATGACACATCTTTCATAATGCTTAAATACTGGCCTGATAGTGAATATTTCTAACCTTCAGGTGTGGCTATCAGCTGCTAAAGGCAAAGGGCTGGAGGTTTCCGGAGTGTTTTCCAGGCGGGGTGGTCAAGTGTATATGGACCTGACCATTTCAAACAAAGCCATGCAGCAGATGTGGGGATTTGCAATTCAACTCAATAAAAACAGGTGAGCGCTATAAAGTGCATTATTAGTCCATTTTGATGTCATCATTCAATAATGGCTCCTTTGGAGCCATTATTTCCCATTAGTGCCCTTAGAACTCTACAATAGTTAATTAGTATTGTAGATACTGTATTGTTTCAATAAAATCATAAAATGATATTGTAAAAATCTAACACAAACATCATTTTAATTGTTTTCTTCTCCTGTGCTTTAAAATTTGTCAATGATACCCCTTTTCTTCGTCATTTAAATGTCTTTTAATGCTGGTCTTGCATGTTCATCTATGCCTATTATCAGTGAAATATATCTGAATAAGGTCTAAATGATTTCTTATCTATGGTGGAACCATGAGTAGGCTAAATCCTACAGTTTTTCCTTGGATTTTCTCATGAAAATTCTCTCATATCACAATATAACTAGTATGCAATGTAAATTTGATGCTTCAAATTTGAATTTTTAGAAAATACAAATCTATTTTACTTTTCCAATCCAGCTTTGGTCTCACTCCGGCTGCTCCACTGAACATTCCCGGTGCTCTGATGCCTGGTCAAAGTTTGGATTCATCATTGGCATTGAATACAATGGGACCATCGCAACGCATGGAGCCGCTGAATAATTTACAAGTCGCTATTAAAAACAACATTGACGTGTTTTACTTCAGCTGTCTTGTTAATCTGCATGTTTTGTACACAGAGGATGGCAATATGGGTAAGATTAAACAGTTTTTAGAGAAATTTCTGAAATAGTCATATATTTTTATATTATTATATTAATTTTTAATAATGTTATTGTTTATTTTTTTATTATTATTTGTATTAATAATATTTATGATAGTTTAATATTATCACCTACATAAATTGTAATTATTATTTATTATTATTGTTATTATATTACTATTATTATTGTTATTATATTACTAATATTATTATTATTATTATTATTATTATTATTATTATTATTATTATTATATAAGTATTATATTTGTATACATGTGTATTGTTATATCAAAAGTTTTTCAACAGCATTATGTTAGTGACTTGGTGCTTGGCATAGTTGCATGAAGATTGTCTTTAAATTTGAAAAAAAAAAAAAATGATAGGACGAAATGAAAAATGTGATTGAAAAAAAAATACTTGCAGCATTCTATTGTCAAATTTTGATTCATTTTTGCTGTCCTTTATCTTCCAAAATAATTAATTGATGAAATACTAATTAATATAATTTGTGTGTTACATGTATAAGCTTCAGTTGTCATACCATGCATTTTGCTTATATGGATTGGAATGATTCTTGCTTCACCCTCCCTCTTACTCTAGCCAAAAGCAGCCCTAATGGTAAGCATACCCGACAGCCCCACCACTACCCTTCTGTTTTCGTTTGATTGTCTCTATTCTTTTTATGAACTACGTTTTTTTCTTTTTGTGAAGTGCAAATAGGTACAGTACTACCTGCTTGCATTTTATATGCTGAAATAAGTATAATAGTTTGTTTTTCAATGAAATTTGTGGTTATAGTTAAAGTAATCTCTTTATTCTATTCACTGAAAGTAAAAACTCCTACAAATTCCTCATACTAACATAGCATTAGCATTTGAAAGTCTGACAAATGTTGTTTCCTTTTGAACTAAAACTAATATTATAACCTTTCCGTTGACACCTAAATTTTTATCAGTTTCTTAATAAATGTTCCTTGTTATTGATGGCTTTTTATTTGGATTGTTTTCTACTTTCATTATTTTTTTAAGTGTGAGTCTTTGTAAGTTTCAAGAAGTTTCTTGTTTAGAATTTAGCTGAGTTTTTCAAGGATTGTTTGTTTTTGTTGATGAACTTTCATAATTGTTTGTTTTAGGTGTAAAGTTAGAATTTTCAGTTTCTTGTTTAGATATTGGTAAAATATAAAAGGGATATTTGTTATTAAAAATGTATTTTCCATTAAGTCATTGATAATTTCATCTGGTATGAACTTTATATATTACCAGTTTTATGATCTTTATATTTTTTAAATCTTAATATGTTTTTGTTATATTGAATATTCATCCAAGGGCTAGTAAGCTATCAATTACACAATTGACATAAAAAGTATGTGTAGGTCTATAAACTAAATCTGTGCTTGCATTGGATTAATTCTCACCAAGACAAAGTTTAAGTTTACCTTCGTCGAATTGTACCGCTGTTTGAATGTGAAGTAGGTCTTGCCAAGCCTGTAGCTAAATGAAAAGTAAGATTTTGCAAATGTGTTTTCAGTCTAATTGTGGATACAATTTGTGTAAAGTTTAGCCAGTCGGTGCAATATTAATCACTGTTTGCAATAGATTTCTGCTGGGGATAACCAGCCTAGTTATTCATCTTTGGCAGTGGTCGCTCGGTTAAACTTACCGTGTTGTGTGAGTAATTTAACAAAGTGGTGCTAAGTAGGCTGTTCAAACTAAATGATTGTAACTATACCGGGTACATGGTTAATTTGACTGAAAAAATGCTAATGCAAATACAGCTGTGGTCACATTACAATGCTTTGACAATCAAGTTGTTTTTTTAGCAGTAAAAACATGATAATTTATTAAGTATATATCTTTTTAATCAAAATGCATAATGTATTTTTGAATATTTTGTTTGTTTCATTATTTGTCAGTTGTTTAATCTAAATTATATGTTTTTTCTCTTGTAGATCGAAAGGTGTTCCTAGCTACCTGGAAGGACATTCCTCCCTCAAATGAAGTTAACTTTACCCTCAAGGACATACACCACTCACCAGGTAAGAATACCACACCCATGTCTTGTGATTGAACTGGGCCAATCAGGTGACAGCAGTGAAGTAGAAATGCAAATTTTCCACCTAAGGATACTCTCATTGTAAAATAATTTTGTTTTCTTTGGTTATTGAATTTAATGTAAATTGTTATTTTAAAAATTTCTATAGATGTTTTGTCGCAAAAACTAGAGGCTTCCAACGTGTTTACAGTTGCTAGACGACAGGTGGAAGGACAAGAGATGATATATCAATCAATGAAATTGACCAATGGTATTTGGATATTGACTGAGCTGAAGATGAGCCCTGGAAATCCAACTGTAGGAGTAAGTGCATGTGTTAAATTTTGCTTAAAATGTCACTGTTTAATTTTGTCAAAATTAGCCTCTCCATTTTGTGGGCATTGCATCATTTTTTTTTTTGTAATATGTATGGACTTGTCTATTTCATGAATACTTACCTGGATAAACCGACTAATTGCCTCTGTTCCAGAATCAGGACACCCCATTAAAATATAGAACAGTCCGACACAGGGTGCCTCGTATGAACCATCTACCTAACAATAGTCCTCGTTCCTTATTCGACGTTACTCGAATATGAAGCTCCCCTTTTGTGCTTTTGTGTTTTTTGTTTGATTGATTGATTGATAATGATAACTTTTACGAATTTCTAGATTCTTATGTTTCTTACTGATTGTCTTTTCAGCTGTCAATCAAATCCAGAGCTGGGGAAGTTGCAAACTGTGCCATGGAATCCTACAATGCCATTCTCCACCAATAATTCTTGAGAAGTATTCAAACAATATTGATATTATTATACTTTAGCTTGCATATATATTTTATTATTGTAAGGCAGTGCTCCTTAAACAGCGTCCAAGTCAATAAATTTGTACTTATGATAGTAGATATATTATGAGATTATAAAAGGATGTAGTACGGTAGTAATTGGTTAACAAAAGTAAAATGTAAATTAGGATCTTATAATGTTTAATCCCAAACTTTAACTTCTATATATTAGATGATGTTATATGTCATGCTTTCTCAAAAAGGTTGAAAAATTAACAGTCAAATTTACCATGTATCCTTCTATACTATCCTTTTCATTTAATTAATTTTAGAAATGAAAAAAAAAAAAGGTTTACTGATTGAACTGTTATTATGGAACTAATTATTACTTTTGTAGGCCAAGCTAAGCTTATTTTGGGAATCAACTATGGTTCAGAGTATTACACAAATTACAAATGTTAATATTCAACTTAGTAATCAAAGCCGTGTTATTATTATAATTTAATATAGTTTCATGCTATAATCATGTTATAGAAAACTCAGCGTATGTTGTAAAATTGTTGCCATACTAACAGTGATTTTCTTGGATGGACATGGTGTTAGAATTATTGACATGCACACTCACCCCTCGCCCCCCCCCCCCCCCCCTATACTTATTGTCTTTTTTCCAAGATGTGAAGCCCATGTGAATATTTAAAATAAGCATATGAAATAATTAGACAACTGGACACATTGAATTGCATGCATTATTCACTATTTATTGTGCTGCGCTATAAATGCAATGTTTGAGATAAAAATCAGTCATACTATGCATATTAAATTGTCTGTGTACCCTAATTTATCACTTTTCTTCTTTTTTTGTATTTTGAACTTGTTTATATTGCTTAAATACCAACATTGTAGCAGGTTTAATATATAAACATTTGATTTCTTAACTGAATCTACACTATTCTGTGTATAAAGTCTTAGCACTATCCATCTTCACTAAGTTTACAAGAAAAATATTCTATTATTATTTAAACTTTTCGATATCGATTTCTCTCGCCAACTTACACGAAATTAACGATACTCATCCAATAAAAAAAATAGGTGCATGTGTACACTGTCTCTAAAAGAATAACACAACTTAAATCTAGGTAAGTACAAAGTAAAGCAGATGAGAAGTGAAAGTACTCAGGACATTAAATATTTAGCTTTTGTTATGAATGCAATATGCATGAACGCATTACCAATGCTATTTATGTGGCAGATTTCCAAGAGTATTAAGCAGATATTTAATATATTCCTTCCACCATTGTGTTAGTGTAAATGAATATTACCGCGTCTGTTTTGGAAAATTGTTGCATATAATGATTCAAAATTTAATTAATCTATTTTATATTGATTCCATAAGAAGTGTTGATGTGTTTGTGCTTGTTCATGATATTCCCTAGGTAGCAGCCAGTCAGCTGCATATTCATTTGAAATTCAGGTCCAATGCCATTATTACTATGGGCCTATCTATAGTGAGCTAAAAAGCAAAACTTGAAAAGTAGATTTCATATTCCCTTGTCTGTTAATATAAGAAATTTAAGAAAATATTTATCTCCAATCAACAAGGTCTTAAAACTTAGTCCACACTATCAAATTGTATGTAAAAAAAGTCATATGGCTGTATTTGGGTGTAATATGCAGGGGTGTATCCAGGATTTTTTCTGGGTGGGTCGTGATCATAATTTTTTGTAACCTTTTCACAATTAAATAACAGCAAGATGTGATTCATGATTTGACAAACCATTTTCTTTATAAGCAAAACAGGAATTAATATGTCAAAGATACACTGAGTGAATTTGATCGAATAGATTTTTTGAAAATTAACAACAGCATTAAACAAGTTATTCTCAAGGCAAAGATAACAAATTTCATTCACAGGAGTAATTTTTTTTTTTTTTTTTTTTTTTCGCCGCAACCTGATGTTATACCGAATTTTGAGTATGTTCCCAAATACTTGCGAAAGAAAAAAAACTTGCAAGTGATTTGGGTGAAAATCGAACACACAAGCTTCAGATAAATAGCCTGGTGTCATAACCACAATACCACGAGGGTGACGCTTATCTACTAATGTTGAATCCGATTCCCAAGTAGCAGCGGGTACTGCAAATGCTATTTCAATGTTTGCGTCAGGAAAATAACATAGAGGAGTGAAAAATCCTAGGCGTGATTGAACCCAGGACCCTGGGATTGAAAAGCAAGCATCTATAACATGCACCTGCAGTTTTACTCCCTTGATTATTAAACTAGGCCTACAAATCCATCCTAATTGCTAGGAGACAAAGATAATAACCGAAATTAAAAAAAAATATTATAGTATATAAAACGTTACACTTTCTTACCCGCCGAGTTCACTCCTTTCTGTACCTTACTTGTTCGTGTCCAATTGTCCTCAGCTAAACTTTGAGTAGATAAAATGACATTTTTTAAAATTAATATGGATAAAGTTATTTTTGGAGAGGTTAACATCAGTGTAAGATCTAACCATAGTTGTATGTATAAAGTTGATCGAGATTAATTACTTGTAATACCGGGAAAGACTTCCAAAATTTCAGTTAAAATATTAGATATTAACTTATCAGATGAGTCATAACATGTCCAACACAACACACATTAAAACAGTTTTCAACCGACTTACGGACTTCTTTATTAAGAGAATAATCATGGGGTAGAAAGAGGATATAGAAATGGGAATTTTATGCATTTAATAGGCCTAATTGTTGTTGTTGTTGTTTTTTTTTTTCGTTCTAATTTTTATTTGAAAGCTTACACAAATATACATTGAAAGCACTGTAGCTTAATACTGAATGTGGCTTAAACACAGACAATACTTAAGTAGCATACATGTAAACAAGGCGAGTTTGCTTTCTGTACCTTCGCTTATATTTTATTCGGACGACAACGCAAATGATGACCACTGCCATTGCCACAACTAGGGCAGCTGCTAATGACACGGCTAAGGGCAGTGGCGTGTTGTCCTCATTACCGGTACCTTTTGATGTTATGTCTGTCGTCATTGGTCGTCCCATCGTCACCCGTTCTTCTGTTCGTGTGGATACCATAACTATTCTAGGATGAAGCGTTGATGGAAGGTACGTTGTGATAGTCGAAACCTTGACGTACGATTCACCATCTGCATTCGTGAACAGCTTGCTTGTTTGCGCATGTATCATACTAAATAGCGTGATGATGAGAATTCCAGAGAGATGCCGTGACGTCTCCATGACAGATTATTCTATGAGAGAACATAGATACATATATATACAATTTTAGAAAATTATCGGATCCGGGTGGGGTGGAGTGGCCAGGACTGACTGTTTCACCTCTCCAGCGCTCACCATTGTAAATGTCTGTTAGTGGCGAATAGTAGATACTGTAAATATAAAATTAGTTATTTTTTCTACTTGTGATTAGGGACAGATAGATGAATAGAATGACTATAACAATAGTGGGCTAATTACTATTAATTATAATAATAAAAACAATAACGATAAATAGCCTTAGCAAGAACGATATCAATAGCAATAATAATAATGATAATAACGATGATAACAATTGATTTATTACAGTATTTATTTACTTAGGCGTGCACACACTTGCGGCTTTTATATATTATTGTCCTAAGAGCAGGTGACAATCCCTTTCACAAGAAAAATAAATTTTGAACGTAAAGAAGATACTATATAAATATATTAGCTCTATAAGTTGGCATAAATTGCCTATAAGTTACCTTATTCGAGCAAACTTCACTCAGATTCCACCACCACTATAATATTATTCCTCGTTTTCCGGTGAATGTCTCAGGGTGGAGGAGGAAGTAACACAGCTACTTGTTGTGATTGGTCCAAGTTGGTCAGCACTCATTTAATTCCATAAGATCTTGTCAATCGACTGCTAATTACGAATAATCTACTAAGCCCTGTATTCTGAACTTTGAGATTGTTCTCAATAGAGTAACAAAAGTGTATTTTCTAAAGGTTAAGATTTGTCTGTGCTACGGCGAGGTGCTTTATTTAATAACCTATTTAGACTGTCTATTCTAAGGCTATTAGGTTCTTTCTTTCTTTTTTTTTTAACGATATAAGCGATAAATACAAAAACGGTAGCACAAGGCTAAATCTGTTTGTATTACAATAAAATTACAATAGAAATTGCACATATGTGCTTTTATACCACCGATCCAAAATGTTCGGTGCTAAGCAGCAAAACAATTTTCGTAGTGAAATTCATTGTGAAATAGGCATATAAAATGCCGGGCGTTTTTTTTAAACATGAAATATTGTATGTGGCCATCATTACTGAACCATTCACCCTCTACAGCCTTGTGTTAGTTCTGGGGGCTTGGTGAGTGGACTTGTTGATTGAGAAAGAAAAAAAATATCCCAAAAAATTATTTGCGAAGAATTGAAATTGAACCTAGGACCTTGAAATGACGTCACGATGGTTCGGGAAAAATCGAAGACAATTCTTAACAATTTTGAATATCCTGGGTAATGGTATGTTCAAACAATTTTTTGTTCTGCTTAAATCAGTAGTGAATATTGCGGTGTTTATTCAAAATGCACATGCTCACTCTAGCAAACCAATTACTGTATTATTAAATACTACATTTTAAGCCTGGCACAACATCGACAATGAGCAGAGTCCAGAGTCAAGAGAGCGGGGATGGTTTCGTCGGGCACCGATGATCGTATGACGCATTGTGTACCTGGCATGCTTAAGGTGGGATTTAAAGTATACCCTGTCTACAAACCATAACCACGTGAAGGTAGGGTTAACATGGCAAAAAGGCCGTTAGTGGTTACAAGAATGGTTAGAATATAATGGTATTGCTTGTTTACGTCACCATAAAAATATCCACCTAAAATTTGGAATCAAATGTTAGCCTTTTATGTTAAGATTAAGTTGGCTACTTGCAGATATGACAATGATGGCTGTCATTTTAAGATTTCCTTGACATTTTGTAGCTTCTTTGGCGTGGCATAGTAGGCCTAATATTTAAAAATAATTATTAATTCATGCTCGGAAATATTTAATGCAACATGCGCCATTTAGCCCTACTATACATGTAACTAAACTAGTATTGACAATCTATACATCGACTTGTATTCTGTAGAAAAACATTTATAATGCAAATTATACAGATGATAGTAAAATGTATATAAACGATGATAGCGCCCCTCACCTAATCATTGACCACCCCTATACTTAACCACCCCCCCCCCCCTCATTAGACACCCCATTTCAAGACTCACAAGTACGCGACTGGGTGGAAATAGCTAAATAGACATTTATAGTTTTCACTTTGGCTAATTCTTTTGTGAAAACTGATTTTCCCAACATTTATTTTCATCCGCATTGGATTTAATAAATATAACACCCAGGATCGTCTGCCACAATAGCTATGTTTTCATCGGGTTGTATAATAGATGTCCGTTTCCTATCATCAGTGTAGTCTTTAAGACTAGCATCAGATTTATTCAATGTAAAATGAAATGGTCGAGGATCGTCTGTGTCATTAGTAGGCCTATTAATATCACTAGGTTTTATATCAGGCAATTTAGATCTAAGCTTCCTGTCGTCGATTTTTTCTTCAAGTATGCTGTAGTACAATGGTCCAGGATCGTCTGCCACTGTAGCTATTTTGTCATCAGGTTGTATATTAGATATTCGTTTCCTATCATCAGTGTAGTCTTTAAGATTAGCATCAGATTTATTCAGTGTAAAATAAAATGGTCGAGGATTGTCTGTGTCATTAGCAGGCCTATTAAAGTCACTAGGTTGTATAATAGGCAATTTTGATCTCAGCTTCCTGTCGTCGATTTTTTCTTCTTCAAGTATGCTGTAGTCCTCGTCGTTAGCAACGTAATCCTCTGGTTGCTGTTGAACCCAGTGACCTGGTGCAAGCACAGGATCATCTGGATACGAGTATTCATGGTAATCCTCAAAAGAATTGTCCACTTGTTGCTGCTGAACACCTTGACCAGGTGCAAGCAAAGCATCATCTGCATACAAGTATTCATGGTAATTATCAAAAGACTCAGATATCAGGGCTTTATCATCAGAAATGTGAAAGTAAACCTCAGCATTTTGTAATGTCAGAAGTGCTACCTTGTGAGAACGAACCTCTTCAGCATCAAGGGACACCAAAGATACTGAATTAGAAGTGCCATTTCCAACGTTTTCACAAGACTCTAAAGATGAAGTAGAGCTATTTATATGCCCACGAGCTTGCGTTACATGGTCCACATTCGGGTATAAGTACCCAATACTATCTTCAAATTCTGGTTTCTGACGTCCCGTGTCTTCGGAATGAGGGAGACTCGTGCTGTTCTGCTGAAGTTGTGGTCGCACTTGTTGACGTTCAGTTGAGTTGGCCGCAATCAAACGAGAATCGTCATTGCTTCGTGAATTCTCAATACCAATTACTAGGAAATAGAATCGTATAAGCATAAGAAGCATAAGCATAAGAAAAACCTGCCGATATTTCACAAATATCATCAACATGCATGTACGCATGTGCAAACGATGGAATACAGTAGAACCCCTCCTTTTGGGACACCCCTATTCAGGGGACACCCCTATTAAGGGGACACTTTTCCGTGAAATGAGGAGCAAGATATCTTTTAACACTACGGCCGACCCCTATTAAGGGGACGGGGACACTTTCTGAGTGTGCCAAATGGTCAAATAACCCCTATTAAGGGGACACATAATTTTTTTAAATGATTGTAGGCCTATCACAACTACAGCAATCTCAAAGTAAGAAAAATTCATTCAACTTCATATTTTAACGCCTTTTGAGCAATAAACCAGAATTTTCTCCACTGAATCATTAGAATAGACGTCGGTAGGCCTACTGAATACTGTGTTACTTAATTCAGATAAGCCAATCTTGTCAATTTTGACCCTTAACCATGGGGATTTCGTTTCCTTTGTTTTTCGTGTACTTCACATGATTCTATACATACCATAACATGGACCATTAATTCAAGTCGTTACTCTATTTATGCTATATTCATCCAATAGAAAGCTCAATATTTTAAAGGAATATTTGGTCATCAACATTGCATCATGCAATAATATTGGGAACATTTTATTATTATTATTTTATTATTTATATCACTTATATGCAGCGCCACTTCTTTGTAGATAAAATTGGGTGACGAGAACCCATGCAGTGATGGTTTGATGAAACTG